TGGTTTTTTTTTTTTTTTTTTTTTTTTTTTTTTTTTTTTTTTTTTTTTTTTTTTTTTCCTGGTACCGGGGATTGAACTCAAGTCCTTCTGCTTGCGAGGCAGGCGGTGGAACCACTGAGCTAAATCTCCAGTCCTGGGTTGTTTTCTTTAATCACAGCATGTTTTGGAACTGTAATTTATAAATTTAGAACTATCAGAGTCAAATTTTTTTCCTGATTATTAGACAAATCAAATGTTCCCAACTTTTTGAAGCTTAAGTTACTATTGCAAGGGCTGATAGTAAGTAAACCTTGCTATGTTTTCTAAACCAGGGGGCCCTGGATAGGCATATGTGATTAGTGTTCTGGCCTCTTCTTAATGGGCCATATCACTGTCCTTAATCAAGCTAACAAATACATTCGAGCTTTTTCAGATAGTCCCTCTTTAAACCTGCAGGATCACAAGTAATCTTTTTAATTTTCTTGTGTCCGTCCGTCTTTAATTTCTCCAGATACTGCAGGCAAACAGCTCGCCGAGGTGTCCCATGGGGGTTTAAAAGCTGCATCGAAAGCAGTTGAATTAGCGCCCGTGGCGCAATCCCGCGGCCTGAAATGAACCCTGCGAGGCTGTGTATCAGAGGGTATGTTGTTGACTATTGGCCTATTTTCCTACTGGGCAGATCACTCAAATAATGGAGATGGGGATAGAGCTAATTGAGGCTGTGCAAAAAGACTGGCTTTTCTGGAAAAGATCTTGTGGGGCAAACATCAGCTCTGAGCTAACACTTTCTTGGCCCAAAGGGTTGATCTCCTTTCTTCTGATCCTGATGGCATAGGCCCCCTACCTGTGAAATGCTCTTCTCCAAGATTTTCTTCTATTGTGCCAAGATTTCTGGTTAGAATTCTTTATCTTGCCTCTATTCTGTAATGTTCCATGTGTATATGTGTATTAATCTACAATTAAAACACATGTGTTCTTTCACCAGGACAAGAAACCTGGTCTTGAAGTCTTTCTGTCCTCAGAATGGATTAGTACATGATTTTTTATAGGTCTTTTGTTTGGTGTCTTCTATCCTGATGTAATGCACATATGTATATGTGATACGGTATTTGGAAAGAAAACCAAGAAGCAGTCTGTTTTTGCTGAAGGAGAATGATTTTTACTTTGGGTGTGTGGGGTGGTTATATTATTCATCTTTGGGACCTTTGTATAAAATACAGTTTATCTTGGATGCAGAAAAACATGGAGTAATATCCCTTCCAGGATGGCACTAACCAAATTTTTGTCTGATGTGGCAAAGCAAAATCTCTAGTCCTGTTGTGTTGAAAGATTGGTTGCCTAGAGAAGGTCAATGAGATGGTAGCAGCAGCTGAGTTTTGTAATTAGTAGTACTAGTAAAAAAGACATGTGACTCATGTGCAGGAAGGCAGAAAAGTAACATTTTTATAAGCTGATACTCTATTTGACCAAGACCTTCAAAGGTTGAATTAAAAATTTTAATTTTAGCCCAAGTATTTTGTTTTTGCTGGCAAAGTTTGCTTACAATGCCTAAAATGTAATATTTATACCAAGGTGATATCTTTCCTTCCCAGACCTCAGAATATATTATTCAAGCTTACAAATATGGTGCATTTGAGAAGATCCCAGAGTTTATCGCTTTTAGGAACAGGCTGAATAATTCTCTTCATTTTGCACAAGTTCGTACTGAACGGATGCTGTTAGATCTTCTACTTGAAGCAAATATGTAAGTATTACATGAGAGGTAAAAAGAAATATAGGATTATTTCAGGTGCTGTAGAACCCTTAATGGGCTCATGGGTGTCATTAGCAGGCTTAAGGGAAAAATGGTGGCGAAAGGGAGAAAGGAGGAGGAAACAGGGAAACAGCCTCTAGCCTGTCAAAGAGAATGATAGAGTACTGTTAGCACCATTTTGAGATCCAATTCAGAAGCCATCTTGGCCAGGATCTTCACTCCCTGGGTGAGGGTGGCCTCAAACTCACAGTGATACTCCTGCCTCAGCCTCCTGAGTGTTGGAATTATAGGCACGTGCCACTGCACCCAGCAATCCTGATCCATATTGTGCTTTAAAGTTTTCCTTCCCCTACAAACAAAGGCTTTCAGGAATTAGTGCTGATCTACTTTGCTTTGATTAGGCTTCAAGAAAACTTTCTCTTACTATTGATTGATTGATACCAAGGATCGAACTCAGGACCTTGTGTTAGCAAAGCAGGTGCAGTGCCACTGAGCTAAATCCCTGGCCCATCTCTTGCTGTTTAGTGACCCAGCATGATCTGTACTTGGTTCTGTTTCACCTTTTATTAGCTTTTATTTTATGTACATACCCATGTGTGTGGTATTAGGTGAACACAGAACCTTTGCGCTGAGGTACATCCCTAGCCGTTTAATTTTTTACTTTGAGAAAAGGTCTCATTAAATTGTCAAGTTGCCTAGGTCAGGCTCAAACTCACGGTCCTGCCTGAGCCAGAGTGCTGGAATTACAGGTGCACACCACCATGCCTGCTTTAGTTCTTATTTCTTAACAGTAAATCCTTCCTTCCTCTTTCCTTTCCTTTCCTGGCTAATATATTTTTATGTCTGTTTTGCTTTGAAATAAAACATAATTACTCGATATTACAGATCAACCAGTTTAGCAGAAAGTATAAAGTCAATGAATCTTAGGCCAGAAGAGGATGACATTCCATGGGAAGAATTGAGAGATAACAGAGATTTAAATGTTTTCTTCAGCTGGGATCCAAAAGACCGGTAAGAGATTTAACCTCAAGCAATTTATTTCTAAAAAATTAGGGTGAATCTAAGACTTTAAAAAAAACTTCTTTTTATGCAAATATAAAATAACATTTGTTGATGAGATCAGAAAATATAGGTAAGCCAAAGAACGAAGATATATCTCACTCCTCTGTTGGAACTAATAGTTCTATCTGGCTCTATTTAAAGTTTAGATCTACTTTATAGTATGTATGACAACAAATTCCAGGTAGATTGAAGATTATGTGTTAAAATTCCTTAGAAATTCTAGAGAAAAATGACATACCTTTTAAGTAAGTGGAGAAAGCTCGGGAGTATATCAAATCTGGAAGTTAGACTTGTGAAGTCCTAAAGATTTATGGTAAATTGATAAATTTCTTCTTGGTGGGTTTGTGTTTGAGTAATACAGTGATTGAACCCACGGCTTTGCATATACTTGGCAAGTACTTTTCATTTTGGGTCTCTAATTTCTTCTTATGCATTAATATTCTTCATTTCTACAGAGAACCTTTTTTTGTTCTTTTGTTTTTTTGGTACTGGGGATCAAACTCAGACAGGCACCATGCCACCTAGCTAAATCCCTGGCCCTACAGAGAACTCTTAATAAGCTAACAAAGAAGAAACAGCTTGTTCAAAGGGACTAATAAGAACTTCAAAGAAATGCGTCTTACAGTAATAGACATTTTATTTCAAACAAAATAGATTAAAACTTGTGATCAGCAAGGTTGTATGAAAAAAATGGTTATTGTCATGTGTTCACATAGTGATACAATTTTATATAATTTTCCTATAGAGATTTTAGTGATATGTATCAAAATTTATCCTTTTTTCTTTTGGTATGGGGTTCAAACTCAGGACCTTGCGCTTGCAAGGCAGGTGCCACTGAGCTGAATCTCTGCCCATGATATGTATCAAAATTTAAAATGCTGCCACATACTATTCACTTCAGCATATCTGCTTCTAAGACTTGGAGCCTGGGACGAGGATTTAGCTTAGTGGTACCTATGCCTGACTGGCAAGCAAAGGGTCCTGAGTTCGATCCCCAGTACAAAAAAAGAAGGTGGTGCCTAAGGCAATAAATGCAAAAGAATGCAAGGTAGATATATGAGGTAGTTCTGAAAAATATCATGACATGTAGTTTGGCAAGATCACATTCAGTGAATTTCTAGAATGACTCAGGAGATTCAGCATATAGTTGCTCTTGCAACTAAAGTTTGCTATGGCAAAAAGACACACGACAGGACAACAAAGAAAAGGCACAGACAGAGCCTCGAGATTTCCACTGCTCTGTCCCTCCTGTGAGGAGACACACCAAACATACTCCTGTCCAGCAGGAAATAATGCTGTAACACATGTGCAGTGTTTCTGCCCATGGAAGCTGAATAGAAACTCCACTCCCAGGGTTTTTAGTGGCTCTGTCCAGCATATACCAAAATCCCAGACTTCTAGAAGGAAGGATGTACACCATAAACCATGTGGTTTGAACAATCCCAGCACAATAAGCTGCTCTTGACGTGTGTGTGTGTGTGTGTGTGAGATCAGGGTTCGAACTTGGGACATTGAGCTTGTAAAACAGGCAGCGGAATCACTGAGCTAAATTCCCAGCCCACTCTTGACTCTTAAGAAATGGTTAGAGTACAAGCTTTTAGACATAAGCCAGGGGCTGACCTTGCAAGTAGACTAGACCCTTTAAAGATGATGTCTGCAGACCTAGTGACTTATCTCCCACTTCCCCTGTCCTCCTTTTCCCTGTCTTCCTTCTATGTATTCTACAACTGAGCTACACCTCTAGCCACTTTTATACATCTCTATTGCAAAAATCTGAAAGGATTTATACCAAGCTTGTTACTACTGTAAGTGCTTCGTTATCAGGATACCTTTTCTTTGTAATTTTTGCTTTTCTATCATTTGAATTTTTTGTGTAATCATGTACTTTAATTATCAGTGAAAAAAGTCAAAAGGAAAGCAATCTGAAGGTAGGTTATCATGCCCATTATACTTAGAGTGAGATGAGATTTCAGATAATTTTTGGCCTAACATCATTCATATGGTAAATGGCTGGTCATAGGGTCATTCAAAGGTATTTTGACTGATGACAGCAAATGTTGAAAAATCTGAATAAAAAAGTTGAATAAAGTGGATGGTCTGGTGCTGTTTTTGTTGAAGGGATGTTTCTGAAGAGCATAAGAAACTTTCTTTGGAGGAGGAGACCATGTGGTTAAGAATCCGTTCCTTAACATTGAGGCTGATCAGTGGACTTCCAAGTCTTAACCACCCTGTGGAGCCAAAGAACTCAGAGAAGACTACTGAGAATGGTGTCTCCTCCCGGATTGATACTCTGCGTTTGCTCCTTCAACAGCTAGAGGTGGCTGTAGAAACAGGAAAGCGATTTATTGAGAAGGAAATTCAGGTATCATTAAAAGTATTTGTTGTAAAAAAAATAAAAATTTTGTCATTAGAGCTGCAATTATTTTATTAAGATTTTATTTATTTTTTCTTAAATAGGAGTTCGAGGTTGGTTGAGCAGTAAAGAACCAGTTTTAACATTTGGTCCCAGTTTATGTCATCTGTAGGAAAAGAAATTTTATAGACTCAGAATTGCATAGGCTTTCTTTATATGTAGAAAGTGGAAGAAAAGCAAGAGGTTTTTTGGGTAATAAGTAAATTTTAAATAACCATCAGCAAATTAATACGGTATTGCTATTTATACCATAATGATTTAGTTATTAGTTTGCTGGTTAATGAGTTTTCACTAGGTCACCAAAACAGGTTTTATCCAGTTGTTACAATCCCTTGTTTTCTTATTTTGCATGAATTTAAAGATACCATTTTTCCTCTTTATTTCCAGTATCCTTTCCTTGGTCCTGTACCTACCAGAATGGGTGGATTCTTTAATTCTGGCTGTTCTCAATGCCAGATAAGTTCCTTTTATCTTGTTAATGATATTTATGAGCTGGATACCAATGGTTTAGGTAAGTATATACTTGCATGTATGTTCACTAGATCTTTATCATTGAAAATTTAGTAAATTTAGGGGCTGGGGATTTGGTTCAGTTGTTCTGCCACCTGCCTTGCAAGTGCAAGGTCCCCAGTTCAATCCCTGGTACAAAAAGAAAAGAAAAAGAAAATGTAGTAAATGCAATAAAATCTCTATAGCCTCACATTTAGAAATAATGTAGAATTGAGGAAAACTGGAAACTGCTTGGGAAATGTTTGGTTTAGTATATAAGATTGCAAAGAAATGTTTCAGAAGCATAATTTCTTTCCATATTTAAAGTCAGTTATTAGTGGGGCCTCATGGCGCATGCCTGTAATCCCAGCACCTGGAGGCTGAGGTGGGAGGATTGCTATGAATTCAAGGCCAGCCTGAGCTACATAGTGAATTCAAGTCAGCCTGAACATAATGAGACCTTGTCTCAAAAATAAATAAGTAAAAATAACAATTTTTAAAAGTTCAGTTGTTTGATCTAAAAGCTCATGAAATCCTTGATTTGTTGAAATATTACTAGATTTTATATTGAATTGTTTTAAAATTTTAGCTGTTTTTTTTCTGAGTTCTCAATCCAGTGAGATGAGTTATTCCATTGTCCATGTTTTTTGTTTTCTTTAAAATTACAAGATTTGTAGATCCTATCAGAATATTTGAAATGTATAGACTTGAAATCCTAAAACATTTTAGGTAGTAGGTAATTAATGACTTTTTCTTCTTTTTACATTTTTCCCCCTTTTCTTCATATTTTTCTCTCTCAATATTGGAATTTAGATGCATTTTTTTTTTTTTTTTTTTTTTTTTGGTACTGGGGGTCCAACTCAGGTCCTTGTGCTTGCAAGGCAGGCAGCAGAACCACTGAGCTAAATCCCTGGCCTGAGGTGCCTAGCACCTGGAGAGGGGAAAAAATGATCTTTGCCCATGAGTTACTTGCAAGTATTGATCTTGTTTCTTTATCTTATTAAAAGAAGATAGCTTTTTATGTTTTCTTGTTCAATTTTAGAGGATACAATGGCGATACAGGAGCGAATAGAGAATAGCCTTAAGTCTTCATTAGAACAGTTAAAAGGTAAGTGTTTTTACTGTGGATTCCTGTATTTTATTGTCTGGCACTAGCTCATTTTTTTTCTTTTTTTTTTTTAATGCAAACTTGTGGTAGAATGAAAAAAGAGTGCATATTTGTAGAATTTTTAAAAACTTGGGCTGGGGATTTAGCTCAGTGGTGCCACCACCTACCTCGCAAGCACATGGTTCTAAGTCTAATCTCCTGTACCAAACAAACTTACTTTTTATTATTAAAAATTAAGCTTTGATTACAAAAGTAGTGAATACTTATCTGGTCTCCCCCTTTGCCCATCCTGGCCTGAAGACTATTAACCCTTTGGAGTCAGTATACCCAGATGCCATCCAAACAGTCAGTCATACATGTGTATATGAAAATGCATAGTAGAAATTTTTTTAACACAGAGAAGTGCTTTTCTAATTCTTTTAATCTTTGATATCTTTACATGTCAACTTTATATAAATACATATATTTTCCTTTTTATGGGCACTGTTAGGGATTTGAACATAGGTAGGGCCTTAGGCATGCTGGGCAAGTTCTGTACCACTGAGCTATATCTCCAGGCCCATGTACAGTTCTTTCCCCCTCCCTCCTCTGGTGTGTGTGTACTTGTGTGTGTTTTGTTTGCTTTTTTTGTTTTGTTTTTGAGATAATCTCATTATGTAGTTCAGGATGGCCTTGAACTCACTTTGTAGTCCAGGCTGGCCTCAAACTCATGGCCACCTTCCTGCTTCAGCATTTCTGAGTGCTGGGATTACAGGTGTGTGCCGCAATACCTGGTTTGTTTGTGTGTTTTGAGACAGGGATTCACCCTGTAATCCAGGCTAATCTTGAAAATGCTGTGTAACTCCGGCTATCCTTAAATTTGATCTTTCTGTCTCAGCTTCCTGAGCTGGGATTACAGGCATGAACCACCATTCTTGTCTTTATTGCATTCATTCTTAAGCATGTATACAATTCTGTGGTATTGTATCAGTGTACCAAATTTAATTATGTACTCCTCTGTTGTTTATATAGTACATCATTTATTTATTTCTTACAACAATGCTGAAATTTATTGTGGGACACGTTTGGATACTTATTTGATTATTTCCTTGGGATTGAATTTCTAGGAATGGTGTTGATTGGTAAAAGGAGATATATAACTTTTCAAGGACCTAAAGGGTCTTTATTGCTCAAATGAGAAATCCCTGAAAATTAAATTGTGTGAATAAAATGTGGTATCTATTATGAAGATGACTTTCTACAGTATACCTTTCTGATCTTTATAATGGTACAAGTTCTCCTCATTCACTCACTTAAGGTCTTTTTTTTTTTTGGTATCAGGGATCAAACTTGGGACCTCGCCCTTGCAAGGCAAGCAGTGGAACTACTGAGCTAAATCCCTGGCCCTCCAAATTCTTAATTTTATTGTGTCTATGACCTTTGAAATATTTTAGCTCATATATCTACCCTACTATGAAAAAAAAAAGTGTGTGTGTGTACATGCACATGTGTGTGTGTCCCTGGGAATTATGCCCAGGGACTTTCCCATGCTAGACAAGTGCTGTATTACTTGGCCATCTCCTCTACTCCTTTTAAATTGAGACACAATCTCACTAAATTGGCTAGGCTGGTTTAGAACTCACAATTCTCCTCCGTTAGCCTCCTGAGTAACTGAGATTACAGGCACACGCCCACTACGTGTGACCAGAATACATAATTTTTAAAGCCACTTTCTATATTTTAAAGACTACTGAGCTGGGTGTGGTGGCGCATACCTGTAATCCTAACACTGTGGAGGCTGAAGCAGAAGGAATGCCAAGAGTTCAAGGTCGTCTTGGGCTACATGGGGAGTTCAATGCCAACTGGAACTAGTATTGAGACCGTCTCAAAACACAAACAAACAAAAGACTACTGAGCAGTGGTCAACATGGATTTTTAAGGAGCTTAAATACCCTCTAATCTTTCGTTCATTATGGAAAGTGAAAAATGAAAAGCTCTCCAAATTAAGCTTTTATATTTGTTTATTCTCTACTAGATTAGATACTGTGTTCTTAAAAAATGATATTGAAAAAAAGGTGAATAAAAGTATAAAATATTTTTCTGTCTTCAGATGTCTTCAGTAAATGTACAGGAGACCTCTTAGAAGTAAAAGGTGGTAATTTGAAAACACACCCTATTCTTTTAGAAAATCTAGTCTTCTTTGTTGAGGTATGTTTTTGTTCTCTTCTTGAAAAATGTGATTTTCCTAAATGGTATTCAGGATTCAATTTCCAACTATGAATAGGCATGTTATACCTGCAGTTTAACCTCTAACACTACTCTATTCATAATCCATTATCTTTCCTTTTATTTCTGTCATGTCTGTTTACTTTTATCTCCTCACTTCAGTAATTTACTGAAGGCAGTGTACTCTGTTCTGATAACGAATGTTAAAATTTCTTAAGATATACTTAGTAATAACAACACGTATGTACATGCTCACACTGCAGACTGGGAAAAAATGCATAAAGAGCTACTTTAATACAGGCAGGCTATGTGCTGATCACCTGGGGAGATCCTTCCACAGGTCGGTGAGTCTGTCTCACCTGGCTAGTGAGGTATATGATAGGAACCTTTGGATTCCTGCCTACTAGGGACTGTCCTAGGAGTTATCATTAAGCAAAAAGAATGTAGGCTATTGCAGTAGTCTAAGCAGATGGTGAAGGCCTGGGTCAGTGTGTTGATTGTAGAAACCAGAGAGTGAAAATTCAGGAAAGAAATTGAAGGAATGTGTGTAGAAACTGCCAGTTAGAATTTTTTGTTTAATCCGTAGCTTTAACTTTCTGATGATATCTTTATTGATGGCGTGGCTGTTGTTTCTCTTTCAGACCATTTCCATTATCCTTTGGGTATCTAGTTATTGTGAGAGTGTCCTGCGACCATTCAAATTAAATTTACAGAAAAAGAAAAAGAAGAAAAAAGAAACCAGCATCATCATGGTAATAACAGTAACAACAAAAACAAGTAACACTCTGACTGCAAAGCTGCTGCTCATTTTTCTTTCTCCTTCCTTCTTCCTCTCTCGTCCTCTTCTCTCTCTCTCCTTCCCTTCCCCTCTCCCTCTCTCCTCCCTCCTTTCCCCCCCCCCCCCCCCGCCAACTTGGGGTTGAACCTAGGACTTCTGATGAGCTACCGCCCCAGGTCTATTAATTTGTTTATGTATGTATTTATTTAGAGACATGATCTTGTTAAAATTGCCTAGGCTAGACTCAAACTTGAAATCCTTCTGCTTCACCCTCCCACAATTCTGGGATTATAGGTATACACCACCGCATCTGGTTGTGGGCTGCTTTTTTTTTTTTTTCTCTTCTTTCTTGCATGTTGTAAGAGTTTTCATGATCCTATATGTATTCTTGTTTGCCTCCAACATTTTTAAAAAAGGTTTTATAATATATTGCCCAGGTTGGTGTCAGACTGCTGGGTTTAAGAGGTCCTCCTGCCTCAGCCTCCCAAATATTTGGGACTACCGGAGCCATGCACTATGCTTACATTTGTTCATTCATTCACTTAGTTATGAGACATGGTCTTGCTGTGTAGTCCAGGCTGGCCTTGAATTTACTATGTAGCCCAGGCTGGCCTCAAATTTGCAGTGATCCTCCTGCCTCAGCCTCCTGAGTGCTGGGATTACAGGCATATTCCTCCACACCTGGCACCATGCATACATTTTTTAAAAAATTACAGAAAAGTTGAAAGATTAATATAATGATATGTGCAAAGAATCCTAACCTAGGTTACCACTTGTTCATACTTTGCCACTTTTGCTGTTTGTCTTATTTGTTGAGCCATTTAAAAGAAAAGGATAGATTTGTGATCTAGTAACACATCAGAAAATAGCAATCTCTTACAAAACTACAGTGCTCAAGGAGATCACAGTCAAGTTGAATATTGATACAATGATATTGTCCAGTAAAGTCTGTATTCACTTTTCTGCAGTCATCGAATTATGTCCTTTGTTGCCTTTTCCAAAATACTAGAATCTTTTTTTTAATTTTCCTGGTTTAATAAGGACTTGCTTATTTTGAGAAAAAATATCCCAAACATCAGGCTGTTCACAAAAATAACCCACAGTGTCAACTTTAGAAAACAAAGACTATAGCCGGGAGTGGTGGCGCACCCACCACCTAGCACTGTGGGAGGCTGAGACAGAAGGATCACTGTGACCAGCCTGGGCTATATAATGAATCCAAGGCCAGCTTTAACTACACACTGAGGCCCTGTTTTTAAAAAACAAAAAACAGAGCTGGGTGTGGTGGTGCACATTGGTTATCTCAGCCCTTGGGAGGCTGAGGCAGGAAGATCGCTGTGTGTTCCAGACCAGCCTGGGCTACATAGTGAGTTCCAGGTCAGTCTCAACTACATAGTGAGACCCTGTCTCAAAAAAACCAAACAAAACAAAGACGATTACATTAATTTTTCTAGAGGATGCATTTGACATGCCAACTCTCATTCACAAAAATACATTGTTAAATTTGTGTTCAACAGCCCCACAAAGTACTTGATATGGGGAAACACAAATTTCTAACTCAAAGCTGCTCTCAGATGCTACAACTAAATGAGATTTCCTTTGCAATTAGGGAAGCAACTACTGAAACCATGTATGAATGGAAATAACTGTACTCCCTGCATAACGAGAGATTATTGTGGAGACAGCTGATAGAAACCTTACAACCTTTTTATTGTTAAGTCAAAGAGGTATCAAAATTAAAAAGCAAAATTGCAGGGTAAGACTTAACAAAACTACTAGGAGCATCAAAGGAAGTGAAAATGGGACTAGGCGCAGGGCAATTATGAACATAGGAAGGACCAAGAACAGTGAGCTTGTGCTGAAGATACTAGGGGAAAGGATCTGGTGAAATTTTGATTTTAGACAAGCGCCTAGGTAAAGAAATAATGGGACAAGACTTCTAAACCCCACTATATGCTTAAGAGTCATCCTCGCCATTGGCGCTGTCTCCAAAATACTAGAATCTTTTTAATCATAATGTATTTTTAACCTCCTTTTTTTGTTTTGTTTTGTTTTTAGTACCGGGTATTGAACTTGGGTCCTTGCTCTTACAAGGCTGCTTGCGGTACCACTGACCTAGATCCCTGGCCCTACCCTCCTTTAATCTAGAACACTTCTTTATCCCTTTGCTTACTTTCTTAGTAAGGATCTAGTTTTTGGTAGGATGATCCAGCATCTGCTTTGGCTAATGGTTTCCTAAGATGTAGGTTAAACAAGGACCATGTTGGGGGCCAGGGATTTTTTTTTTTAAATAGCATGGGAAGACCCAGGGCTTTGTGAATCCTAATAGGAAACTCCACCAATGAGCTAACCTCCGGCATTCCTTCAGTATATGTATGAAACAGTTACTTACACAAACAATTTACTTATAGAACCACCTGGTTTAATGTAAATTTTAATGTGTGTAGTGCCCTAATGCCTGTTAAAGCAAGTTGTCCTTTCACTTGTTTCTCTGAATTTTATTGACTGTTCTAACCCATTTTTAAAAATAGAACTTAAAATATTCTGTTTCTCTTTTCCATTAACATTAAACAAAACCTTGAAGATATAGAGAAGAAAATAAAGTTTTGGCTCCTCTCATCTCCTGTTGTTCCAGGAGAGTCCCAGCTCTGAGTTGAGTAATAACCAACTAACATATTTTCTATTAGTTTCTCTTCTTCAGTTCCCCAGAGTGAAATAAAATTTCACTTTAAAAAATAATGCCCATCATCATTGATTTTGCATTTGGTAGTTTGAGACTGTTCTTAATAGACAAAACTGTGACCATCCCTGTTGTTAAAAGCTTTAAGTAATGTAGCATGAAATTAGAATACTTTATGTGACATAAGCACAGGAGATATGTTTGATGATCTTTCAACTCTTTTTAAATCTCATTCCCAGCCACCTGTCTTCACCAGTTTCCAAGACTATGTCTCTGGACTTCAGACTTTAATTTCCAACGTTGTGGATCATATTAAAGGGCTTGAAACACACCTAATTGCACTTAAGCTTGAAGAACTTATTTTAGAAGACACTTCTTTCTCTCCGGTAAGAGATTATAGGCAATTCATTAAACACACACACACACACACACACACACACACACACACACACACTCTCAGATTTTTTTTTTAAATCATAAGCACAAACGTTCAATTAATCATTCTTTCCCTGTAGTCCTGACCACAGTGGTGCATGTCTGTAATCCCAGTAATCCTCTAGGAAGCTGAGGCAGGAGGGTCTCAAGTTCAGGCCCAGCCTGGGGAATTTACTGATTTAGTGAGACTCTCAAAATAAAAAATGAAAAAAAAGGGCTAGGGTTCAATCCTCCAGTATCATGGGGGTAAAAAGACTTGTGAGTAGAGGGTAGTTTGGCAGGTTTTTTTGTTTTAAGTTTCTTTTCTTTTTTTTTATAGTATGTGTTTACAATATAGCTTTTGTTTTTTTTGTTTTTTTTTTTTGGTACTGGGGATTGAACTTGTGCTTATGAGGCAGGTGGCAGCACCAATGAGCTAAATCCCTGGTCCTAGTATAGCTTTTTATTGTGTTGATGGTGGGTTTCATTCTCTTTATTTCTTTCCCATCCTTCTGTATATTTTTGAGATTGTTCTTTTATTATGAAAACTTATGTCAGCGTGATGAATTGGTTCCTGTCCTGAGTACCAGAGAGAGTTGGCTTTACTGTTGAGATCTAAGGACCATTCCCTTGAATAAGAATTTACCTGCTGCAGAACTGGTTGGTTTACTTGCCACCCCAGTCATTATCACTTGAAAAAATAGGTGTTGAATATTGGAAATAATTATGTCAGTCATAATTAGGCTAGAACAAACAGGCCACTAAGGAAATAGAACCAAGTATGAATCAAAAGTAGCAACCACTAGGTGTATCCTGATATTTTAAGCGCCTTTATTAAAATTCTTGTGGTTAGCAAAATCCCTGTGAAATCTTTGTCTTTAAAATATGAATTCTTTCTGGGTGTGGTGGAACATGCCTATAATCCTAGCACTTGGGAAGCTGAGGCAGGAGGATCACCTTAATTTCAAGGCCTGGGCTACTTAGAGAGTTCAAGGCCAGTTTGACTATGTAGTAAGACCCTATCTAAAAAACAAACAAACAAACAAAAACAGAATTCTTCCTGGTGAGTGTTGTTTCACTTGCCTAGATTAGGTTTAGAAGTTTGGTAGTTGCCGTAAGAGCAGTGGTAGAACAATGTGTTTCTATCCAGCTGCTCCAGAAAGGAAATTTAGTTTGCTGATGAGGGAACTCATGCAATATTCTGAAGGCTGAAGGCAGCCAGAGCCCTGGCCTCAGACCTGCACCCAGACCCTTCTAGGGCAAGGAATGAGTGGAATCTTACTGGCACACCAGCATTAAAAAGATTGTAAGCAAGCCGTGCTTTTGTAAAATTGAAACAGATTAGAACTCTGAAAAAACTGCTTGCTTCCTATGGGAAGTGGCTCAGATCATTTGACATTACCAGACTAATAAAGCAGACATGTTCACATTGAAATGAGTGAGTCAGAAAGTCTCATCGGGGCAGGGACATTTGAGGATTTATAGAGGTTTTGCTAGGCAGAGAGAAATGGAGGAAAGGAATCCCAGCCTGGTCAGACACATCAGACAGTAAGGCAGTCTTCCAGAGCATGTAAGTCAGCCAGGCAAGAGCATGAGGTGCTTGGGAAGCACTGTGAAGAGACTGTGCTTATTGATGTTTTTGTTAAGAGATCATGCTGAAATGAGCAAGACATTATTCTTAGTTTTATAATACTCTCTAGATTTTTCTAGCTCTGGTTCTCTCCTCGTCTTTTTTTTCCTGTCCTTGTCTTTTGACCTTGGAAAAGTTATTTACCTTTTCTGAACCTCAGTTTCTTTATTTGTAAATGGAGACACTGATAATTACTTCATGGGATTATAGTAAGGATTTAACAAGCAGTAATTGGTTTATATTGCCTGCTTTTGTAAAACTCATGATGGATATAGTACACTGAGTAGTACCAGCTACCCAGGAGTGTCCATAGAGTGCTAAGTACTTTGGGGTTTTATAGGGCTTGCCCCCTTTTTGTTTTTTTCCTTTTTTTCTAAACTTGAGAGAGCCTATGAATAAGACCTCTTGATTATGGTCTCTAGTCCTAATCACTTTTTCTATTCCCATGGGAAGATCCTTTGTCTGGACCCCATGTGTCAAGACCCTTTTTATATATTTGTACTCATGGAAAAAATTTATTGTATATTTGTACTTAAGACATTGTATTCTACTTGGTTTGTTGTTTGTTTTTGACACAGGGTCTTGCTATGTAGTTCAGGCTGGCCTTGAATTTACTATGTAGTCCAAATTGGCCTTGAATTTGTGGCGATCCTTTTGACTCAGCCTCCTGAGTGCTAGGATCAGGTGTATGCCATCTTGCCTGGCTATTAGGCCCCCCCCTTTTATTTTTTCAACCTTATATTCAAGAAACCTTGAGGCTGTCTTATGTGGATCAATCTCACTCATTAAATGGCTGAATAGTGTGCAAAATATGTGTACCTTGGACATCTTAGGTGGCTCTTTCTTTCCCTTCCCCTCCCCTTCTTGTCTTTTCTCTCTTTAGTTTGTGGTTTTGGAGATCGAACCCAGGCCCTTCACACTGAGCTAGTTCTCCAGCCCTTTTTATTTTTTTGAGACAGAGTCTTGCTAAGTTGTCTAGATTGAGCTTTCAAAATTGCAGTCCTTTTGCCTCAGCCTTCCAGGGTGCAGGAATTACAAATGTGTGTCACCATGCCTGGTTTCTGTTGTCTATTTATACAGTCACCCCTCAGTATCCATGCACAACTGGTTATTGTGCAAAAGACACATGCACTGTGCATACCAGCAATCCACAGAGGCTCAGGTCTCTTTAAAAAAAAAAAGGCATAATATTTGCATAGGTCATGCCCACATCCTCTGCTATACTTTACATAATCTCTACATTAGTGACATAGTTAATACAATGTAAATGTTAAATATTTGTTACAGTTTTGATCTTGATGACAGATCTTAATGTGTTTAGTACAGACTCATTTTCCCTCCAATAATTTCAATACATCATTGGTTGGATCTGGATTCAGAACATGTGAATTTGGAAGGCTGAATGTAGTTGCTTTTACATCTGGTAGTGAATAAAATATGTTTTGTTTTGTTTTGTTTTTGTACCAGGGATCAAACTCAGGACCTTGTGCTTGCCAGGCAGGCGTGGTGCCACTGAGCTACATCCTTGGCCCAAATGAAATGTTTTTACAAACCTTCCCATACATACGTGTATTTCTAAGGTAGACTGGATCTTACAGAGTACTGTTGTACCTGGTTTCTCTTGTATTTCTGGATTTTGCAACACTGCCAGCTTTATGTAAATCTGACCAATCCTCATTTATCTTTCTCTTTTACACTACATCCCATTTATTTTTCATGGTTCCTACTATAGCAAACATGTGGCAGCAAATGCTGTACAGTATTTATTAAGGAGGGTTAAGAAACTTTGATTTTTTTATTGTTTGGTCTCTTGAATTTATCACAAAAGATAGTACTGGGCATGGTGGTGCGTCATTGTAATCCCAGCACTCAGGAGGTTGAGGTGGGAGGATTGCCGTGAGTTCAGGGCTGGCCTAGGCTATATGGTAAGTTCAAAGCCAGCCTGAACTACATAATGAGACCATCTCAAACAAAACAAACAAAAAAAGATGGAGTTAATAAGTGATACCTTTAGAATGGCTGTGATTATCTCCAAATGAGTAACAAATATCTTTTATATTTTTCATGTAAACAAAAAATCAGAAATTATAATTTTTGCACTTTTTGTAGTTTATAACAAAGTAATGATTTTATGTTCAAACTACTTAGAAGTAATTTACCATTTTTCTTGATTAAAAGCTAACAGAAATCCCATTTTTTCTACTTTATGTAACTTAACAGCAAAATGTATTTGACAGAATAATGATGCTGAACCAAGAGGGTCTTGTTGAAAAATTACATGGAGGGCCGGAGTAGTTTGAAATTTTATCTGAGGAGCTGTAATGTAGGATGATGAATTTTGAGCAAAACCTCTTATTTTTGTCTCTGCAGGAAGATAAAAAATTTTCAAAGACTGTGCAAGAGAAGGTGCAGAGCAGTTATCTGCACTCACTTCTAGAAATGGGGGAGCTGCTGAAAAAAAGGCTTGAGACCACGAAGAAACTAAAAATTTAAGGACATATAAACCATAGGCACTGATGACTCTTACAGCAGAAAATGACAGTACCATCTTCCCAGACAAAAGCAACATCTCGTTGACCATCATTTTAATCCAGAACTTCCTCATAAAATGCATGAAGGACTTTGATTGTGAATTAATTTTTTAGGTATTAAATATATACAACTGATTAAATTATTGTATATAAACCAGAAGCAGGACCCTCATCTGGGTTTGACCACTTTTTATACATGTTCATATACATATGGCAGCAACAAGAGTACCCTCCCCTTCCCTCCCCTTACCAGAAACATCTGGCGGGGGTGGGGGGAGGGTAAAAGCAGCAATAGAAATTAAGTGTAAAGCATCAACCTCAGAGCAGCTGAATAGCCCTACCATTAGAGCAAAGAGAGTTTTAGTCTGGTCATGAGCCATAGGAAGCAAAAGGCATAGGTAGAGGGGGGAATGTGATTAGGAGCAGGCCCTTGTCTACATTAGGCTTTCTCAGCTATGTCACTCTCACAGAACTCCAGGCAAGTCCTCCTCTGATGAGATTGGGCATAAGTACTAGCTCTGAAGGGCACTACGCAGATGACCACAGGTGCTCACTTTTGACTTACAGTCTTGATAGCCAATATGTCCCCATCCCAGCTCCTGTGAGAGTGAAGTCTCAAATAGAAGGCAAAGCTCTCTGAATTTACTGCTGTTTAGAGGGGAAAGCAGTGCAGACCACTTAATAAACCTGCTGAGGACTAGTTTGCTGTCGTTTATCCAATTGGGAATCACTGTTTTAGAGAGAGGTGTACATAATTTATACAGGTAAATCTGATAGTTCTTTCATTGGTTTTGTGAGTTATTCTGCAATTGGTTTGAGTCATTTATATATATATATATTTTTTCACATATATATGTGATTCACATATATATGTGTATATATTCACATATATATGTATATATATTCACATATATATGTATATGCTTGAAAATTAAGATTTACTATTTTAGTCTTTAATTTTAATTGGGTTTGGGATGAATCAGTTTAACCTAGGTTTTAAGTTTTAGGCTTGCAAAAGAAATGTTACCCAATGGATTTGATGCTCGGTCTGATTTCTTGAAACTTGAGAATATACCAAGATGGTATTTACTTTGTTCACCTGGAGGTCTGGTCCCCAAGACTGTGTAGCTTCAGAGGTTGATCTGATAGAAAAGATAAAAATTGCTCTTGAAAATGTTATGCAATTTTTATAATTTTTTTGATAAGTTTTTTTGATGTTGGAATCCTTGCTTCTGTTTTTGGTCTTTGTTACAGTTAAAGTTAATGATTCTGTAAGAGCAAAGAGATGAATTTGATGAGGAAATTCAAGCACCTGACAGAGGATTGGTCTTAAAGACCTCAATGATCCTTTTGTATGCACTGCTCCAGTGAAATGTGATACTTATTTTAAAAGCAACCAAAAGAGAACTGGGAAAATCTATGTGTCCAAAGTTTGCATTTTCATTCCCTCATCTTGGCTTTCTTAGATTTACAGTGTGATAGGGTGATTAATAACTGTTTAAGGAAACTTTTAGAAATTACATTACCTGTTTAAGACTTGGAGAAGCTAATTCATCAAGTAATTTCAAAATTCTATTTTTGATATAAATTGGTACTCACAGCCATCAGACACCCCATCCTCAAAGGAAGAACTGTCTCAAACAAAATGAATTGAAAATTCTGATTCTGAATCTCCTTTAATGATAACATCATTATTTCATAAAATTATGGCCTATTTTAGATGGAAACTGTGTATATGCAGGGGTGGGAGGGATGTGTGTATGATATGTGTTCTTAGAATGATGTTTCTTTGAATATCCAAAAAAGTACTGTACATAGAAATAGAAATCCTCTTTAAAACTTGTATCAACTGACCACGATCAATTTAGCACATGCTTGGTGGGCTGGCCTTGGTCCTCAGGGACAGTGTGTGACTCTAGTGGTCTACCTAACCAGTCTTCTGCCTAGGCGCATCTGGGACCTCTACTGGTTTTACTGACAAATAATGTTACTTTTGAAGTTATGCTTCCTTCATTATTTGCTGATTTTCCTACTGAGTGTGGCAATTCAGTCAGATTCAACTCTCACATTTTGAGATAATTGTAAAAAGAATGAAATTATGCAGAAATGGCCAATATCTTTTATCAATCTATTCTTTTGGAATCTGTCATGCACTATAAATTGTGTACAGTTAAAAATTATATCTATAAATATATATTCTTACATGAGTATAAAGCACCCTCTCCCAACAATTGTATGTCATTGATATTTGAAGAGAATTCCCAAATAACCTGTTGTTGCTGCTGCTGTTTTTGGTTTGTATGGTTTGTTTTGTTTTGTTTTTGTGGAGTAAATTGATATTTAAAAAAAAAAGGAAAGGAGAAAAAAACACGACTACTGTTTACAGACTGAAAAAAATTATTGCTTTTTATACTACTGAGATTCTAAGTTAAGATTCTCCAAAGCAAACATTTGGTTAAAATCATTTATCTGATGCACATAAAAGGTAGAGAAACTTTTAGTGTTCTCCACATAATGGAAAATGTACAAATGCCTAGTTGTGTTGCCCATCAATTTTGTATATTTTCATAATTTTAATTGTTCAAAATTGCATTATATTTTGCAATCACTATGTTCAATCTGGATTTGTCTTTCATTTTAACTTTTAATATATAAAGGGGTTTCAGTGTATCCACAGGCTTGTTATTGAAACTTCTTACGTATTTGATGTGATTTATAATGGGAAGTCTATAGTCTTCCTTCTTCAAAATTAAGTGAATAGCAAATCTACTTTAATTTGGATGGGTTAATTTATATAAACATTTTCATTTTCAGTTGGCATTTTTGCCTGGTTCATCTTTTTTTCCCCCTGGATTCTTAGAAGCTACAACCTTTTGAATGGTGTAATTCATCTGAATTCTGTATTGAATGTTATAGCCCCAACAAAAATGTATTATTTGCCAATTTACATTTTTTTGTTTCAAGGCCACCTGTCTTTGGTTTAAAAGTAATTCCTTTTCCACTCACATTCATGAATTTGACATATATGTATGTACTGACATTTATTGTGCTGTGTGTGATTCCTAAATTGTAGGCTCTGCTGATAGAATGGTAGATGAGGTCCTATTCCTATTTAGCAGCTACGAGATAGGAAGCAGTAAAAGTATTAGTTTGTATTGAGTCCTGCTTCAGAAAGTAAGTCAGGGTATAGAATAGAGCATATAGGGGCTCAATTCAAATTAGGTCATGAGGTGGTGACATCAGACCTGAAGGAAGAAGATTCAGTCTTGAAAAGCACACAAGTGCAAAGACTCCAGTAGGAAACAGCTGCATATGTCCCTGGAACTTAGTGAAAGGAGTGGAAAGAGACAGCATAGTGGGAACTGGATTAGTCAGGCCCTTGTAACCAGGGGAAGGATGGAGATTTTATTCAGTTTAGTGGGAAGTTGCTGGAGGACTTCAGGCAGCATGATGACATTTACCCAAGAGTATTTGAACTGAAATTCAAAGTTGATTTGGGCATATTGATAACACACAATAGAAATAGCTGTTTTTTCTCTACTTTCTGTCCTGCAATTAATATCCCCTTATATGTCCCTTAAGAGTTAGTTTTTTTAGCCAGATATGGTAGCTCACGCCTGTAATCCCAGCACTCAGGAGGCTGAAGCAGGAGGATTGCTGTGAGTTCAAGACCAGCCTGGGCTATAGAGTGAGTCCCAAAAGGCCATGTACTTTCCTATACTCAGTAAAGATTGGCTCAGACATATTTTTAACGTTCCTGTATGTTTAGATGCTGTTACTTTCTCAATAGAGACATGTTTCAGAGATGAGTGCTACTATGAGTAAAATGCTTTTAATGACGTCTGTGGGCTTCCTACTGCAGTTTATACTTGGGGTGTACACATCTTCAGCATTAGCCAGGAGGCATGGGTCCCTGATAAATGAACTAAAATCTAGTCTCACCCCCCCACACAAACCATCTCATATTCTTACTCCATGGTCACGTTCAAATCCCTAGATTCTCAGTTCTTTATGACTAATGTCTTTTTTGTTTTTTTGTTTTTGTTTTTTTGACAGCTGGGATCAAACTCAGGACCTTGTATTTGAGAGGCAGGCTGTGGAACCACTGAGCTAAATTCCTGGCCCTAATGTCTCGATGTGACTCTACCAAGAACAGTTTTTTGCATGTGGTTATTAATTACCAAGAACTACTTGTAAATTAAAATTACTCTTGGTGTATGCAAAGTGCAGCTCTGCTAGCAGTCTTGATGTCACCAGATGATACCAGGCAAAGCTGGATGCCTAGAGCTGACAGCCAGCTGCTGGTCACTGCCACTGCCGGCTATCACCATATGACGCTGGCTTGTGCTGGACACTAGGTTGACTACCTGGTGCTGGTGGGGGGAGCTCTTCGGGGTTAACAGCTTTGAGTGTTTATTGCTCTTTCTTTAGAAATGATTGCTGTGGGGCTGGGGATTTAGTTCAGTGGTTTCACCACCTGCCTGAAATGAAAGTTCCCAAGTTCAATCCCTGATACCAAAAAAAGAAAAAGACTGCTCTGTCCACACTACTCAGGATAAAAATCCCAAGTAGATTTACATGACTTTTGGAACCCACAAGTACCAGAGATCAATCTTGAGCAGGTTTACAGGAACACCAAAGTAAGTATTTCAACAGGGCCTATGCTGCAGCACAAGGGGGCCAGTAGAATCCTCCTAGGCTAAAACTCAAGTGACTGGGGATGCCTCTTATAAAGCAGCCTGTTCCAGAGAAGTGCAAGGCTGAAAGTGTGCTATGAATGTTGGGTATGCAAGTAAGGGACCCAGATCCCTCCCTTCCTGATCTTAGCCATTTCAGCGCGTCTCCCTCCCTTCTTCAAAAAGGCAACTGTATCTTCTGAAGTGGTGGGAGTTGTACAGGGCTCCATGCTGTCTGTCTGCACCTTGCTGGAGTGAGGAATGGTGTGGTTTGATAGCCAGGGAGAACACTGAAACAAACTGTCCTAGTCCATTGGGGTGCAAGGGGAGCAAAAGTGGGTGGGGACAGCTGCTGGCCAAGCCATAACATCCCTCCAGCTGGCACAGGAAAAATGAGGCACTTCTTGCCTGTCTCATTGGTGCCATTTTAGAAAACTCATGTTCTTTAGAACAAAATTTTCATGCTGAGTGGCATGTCCAACCTGCAACCTTTTTTGTCGTTTTTTACAATAAAATATTCAAATGTTGTACTATTGATACATAAGCTGCAAAGCTGTAGCTCAAGATAATCCCATTATTAAAAAAAAAACAAAAAACAGCGACAGGTTAGAAACCTGATGATATTTTGTTTTTGGTACTTAGGGATTGGACCCAGAGCCTTCACACTGAGCTGCATCCCCAGCCTTTTGTTTTGCTTTGGAGGCAGGGTCGGTCTTATGAAGTTGCACAGTTGCCCAAACTGGGCTCTAATTTGCATTCCTCCTGCCTCAGCCTTCAGAGTGCTGGAATTACGGGTGTGTGCCACCACATTCCAGCTCCCAGCAGTTTTGTTTAAACAGGGTCTCATTCAGTTGCCCAGACTGACCTCAAAATGTGCAGCCTTGCCATAGCCTCCTGAGTGTCACATACCACTATGGCCAGCTAGGAGTTCTCTCCCACCTGGACAAAGGTGCATCTGCTCTTAAAGTCTAAGCAAGGATAAAGTGGATGCCCTGAGGAAGGAAGGCAGTGGGTGGTCAGGCCAGCTCTGCTCCAAATCAGATTAGTTTCTTGAGTTTGTCCATGCAAGTTTTTTCTCTCAGTACAGCTTGCATTGGATCCAGTGTCTACTATGCTTCAGGTTATCAGGAGAGTCCCTTAAAATCCTATGTAGTTGCT